AAAAAAAAACGCAGCAGAGAAAAAACTCTTCCTGTTTCTTCTTCTTCTTCTTCTTCTTCTTTTTTTGATTCTTGTACGATGGCGATAATATATGAAGAACAATCTGAATGATTCATCTAATAATCTCGTTGTTGATTCAATGTCTAGTCTAGATTTTGCCTGTTTCGTTTAACAGAAGTATGTGTGAGCAATCACATCTGCTTGCGTTCAATCAGTCTTGTCGTTCTCTCTCCCTCTTTTTTTTTTTACTATATACAAGAAACAAAAAAAAAAGAAAATGATCACTATTGTGAACTGTATGATGACAAATATACAACAATTTCATTATTATTAACATAAAAAAAATAGCAACTTATCGTCTGTATTTCCTCGACTCTTTTTTTCTTCGATATCTCTTATTAATTTGTTTGACTAGAAGTTATGTGCCCTTCAACGTCAACCATATATAAGCATAAACATAAACACAACAGAAATCATATATATTAGCCTCTAAAAAGTATAAGTTGATGGCATACCACTAGCTATACATCAGACGATAAAATCATCACCTTTTCTACTATTTTGTTCGTCCTACAGTTGCTAGCGAATGACAACATCATCAAGAAAACATGTAGACAGATATATCCTGATGAGAAGGATTTATCTATCTACGTTTTTTTTTTCAGATAGTATATTGCCAACTACGTAGAAGCTGTAAATAACTCTATTTCTAATCCATAAAAAAAAAAGACTAATAACGAATCTAATTTTATTACCTGACATATTTCGTTTAATTCGAAATGTTCCATCACTAACATCGAATATATTATCTCTCGTTTCATCATTATCTACAACTAATTTATTCGATAAAACGGCAGCAACTGGAGCTGATGGAGCCATCTGTTTTTCTATACGAACCTAAGATTAAAAAAGAAAAAAGAAAATAAAAAGAAAAATGTATAAATTATTAATACAATAAAAAAATAAAAACTCTTACTCGAACACGAATTTCATTTGTAACTACGTCATCATCTACACCAACACATGAAAGTATAAATTGTCGATCAACATATGTGACTGGTGTTTGTGATACATATGCAATTTGTCGAAATAACTGTTGATAAGCATCAATGGATTCAATACCTAAAATTAAGAACAAAAATTGTATTTTTTTTTTCTATTCTAAATAAGATTTTAATATACCTGAAAACATGACACCATCTTTTGTAACTTGTTTGTCTAAATTAGAAACTTGTGGTATAATTAATTGTTCAGTATTTGATAAAGATGGTTCTGTTTTTAAAATACAATCACTAATATCACCTATAATAATAATCATCAATATAGAATTTAATCTTTATACAAAAAAAAAAAATAGAAAAATTTAATTTTTTCTTTACGTTGATGTTTTTTCATTGCATTTGTATAAATTGATAAAGTACGAAATAGATAAATACCATGATTAATAACATCTTCTGGTACTAAATAATTTGTATCACCTTTAAGTTCAATTTTAACTGGAAGTTTTGCTTCATCAATTGATATATAACGTGTAAATGTTGGTAAATCATATGTATTCATTCCTTCTAAACATTTAAGTCGTGTATTAATTGTTATTTTTTGTTGACCATATGGACCAATTGGTTCAAATGTGTTACGATAAATAACATGTTTTAATAATTCTTTATATGATTCAGTTGTATCTGTACGTAATATCCATACTGATCGATTAGAATTACTAACAAATTCCTAAGATAAATAAAAATAATAAGTTTTTATTGTTTATATATATGAATTATACATACAACATTCGATTGTGATTGAACATCAGAAATATCAAGATATTGATGACATTCTCGAATACAATTAGATGATCGTTGTAATTCTTCTTTTTGTTCAATTGTAAGACCAGATAATTGACCATGAAAATGTTGAACCAAACGAGATGCTCGTGCTAAATAGAATAAATTTCTTTTTAATAAAAAAAATATGACTATTAAAATCGAAGATGCGATCGGTTCGGTTCCCAAAAGAAAAAAACGACGAACTTATTCCTATCTCTGGTTAAAATATTTGGTAATTAAAAGAATATTGATTTGTAAACATCATACAAGCTATATTTTATTTTGTATTGATATATATATTTTCGAATCCTTCCCATAAACTAGTTAAGCAAGTTTAATCAATGTTATCAATTAAGGATCCCTACGACCATATATATATATAAAAGGATAAGGTTTCATTGACTAGTATGAAACTTGTTAAAACCTATGTTGAGCTACAATCATGCATTTTAATATATAAACAACAATTGAACTTGACCTATTGATATTATTAATATACTCTATATGCTAAGTATCCCTTTGGCATAACTAAAGAGATTAAGTTTGATATATTCGCATGGATTCCATATGAATATGTTAGAATGAACTTTCATTAAAATATATAGATAATATTATTTGTTTTTTGTTTTTTTGTCTTACCATGCCAACAAGCTCCTAATGCAAATATTGTATCATCAGTTCCTTTAATAATTGATAATGGAATATCTTTGATAATTCGAAAATTATCATTAGTTGGTACAATTAAATTTTCATCAATATATAAATCAATCTTAAATAAAGAAAAATTTCAAATAAAAAAAAAAGAAACTTTTTTCATGTTAAAAATGATATACTTTATTTGGATAATTAACAATAAATTTATATGAATGCCATTGATTATCATTTATTTGTGAAATTTTCCACATCCATTCAGATTCATATGTTGTATTAAAATTTAATGATAATGGTCCTTTACGTAATAATAATTTTATATAATTATTTTGAATAAATAGAGCTGTATGATGACGATTTTTTACTAAATAAAAAAAATTTTTTTCGTGTGTATTTTTTTTTGTCTTTGTATAATTTTCAAAACAAATTAATTTAACTTACATTTTTTATCACTTTTACAGAATATATGTTGTTTATCTTTAGTATTTTTATTATCATTTGTATGTTTCATCAACATACGAATAATAAATTCATCATTGAAATGACCAGAAAATTCTGATTGATTAACAATTATTGCTTGATCATGACCATTAAATGGTATGAATGTTGATGGAGGAATTCCATTTGAATTATCACTTTTTGCTAATAAAATATATTCACGGTCAATTGTGGCTAAAACAAAAAAAGCAGTTTTTTTTTCTTTCATGTTTATTTTAATTTTTCAAAAAGACACCCAAAAATACATACAACATTGATCATGATTACAACCACTATCTAATCCATTTGTATCAAGTTCAACTGTGCCAACAATATCTTGAACATTACATGTTTCATCACATGTATCAATATCGACAGTATCAAATAGATGAATACGATCCGATTGAATAATTAATTTTGATGGTGCCGTATCTAAATAAATATATATGTTATTTGGTAAATTTCTTTATTTTTTTTTTGTTTGATTTACATACCAGTAATAACTGGTTTGCATGATTTAATGATTTTAAAGGTAACTCGAGCTGGTTCACTAATCATTCTTGAATTATCATTTGTTGGATAACAATCAATAGCAATAACATCAAATTCATATTGATCATTATTTAATGTTGTTGTTGTTATTGATATTACGCCATTTGAATCAATAGAAAAAGGTACTTTTGGTGTTATTATTTCATATCCACATACACGATGATCTTGATTAGCACAATCATCATCAGTTGCTTCGACCTAAATAAGAACATAATTATTCTTACATTTAGCCATAAGTAAAATGAGAGAGACAAAAAAAAAACATCAATTAGACTTGTTTATGTTTGTTTAATAGAATATGTCTTGATAATGAGAATTATTTTAGTCTTCTTAATGTTTTGAATCTTATCTTTTTGATTATGTTTACACGAAGAAAAAAAAAAAGAAAAATTTCATATCCTTTTTAATTTCCGATTTCTTTTTAATTAACAAAATAAATATGAATCCTTTTTTTTTCTTTAGCTTACACGACATGATGAAGAATCGCAAGTTTGATTTTCATGTAATTTGAATAGATAATGACTATGTGTAAACATCGGTGCGTATTCATTAATATCATCAATAGTAATTATTAATGACGACCTATATGACAAAAAAAACAAAGAATATATATATAGATTAGCTTTTCTTCAGCATTGTTTTTTTTATATTCCTTTATTATCATTACTATTCGTTTAGGCGCTTAGACAATTTACCTTGAGATAAGTGTCGACAAAAAAAAGTGGTTTTTTTCTTACCTTTCAGAATAACGACGTTTGTCTAAAGGTGCACAATCGTACGCATGTATATACATACGATACGTTTGTTTTATTTCACAATCGAGTGTATCAATATTTGATTTTAGTGTAAGAACAGGTTGATTATTAACAAAATCAATAGTAAATGGAATGCTTTGTGTTATGTCATTAGAAATATCATCATGTTTATGCCATGATAATTCATAACCGCAAATTTTACCTATATAAGAATAATTTTTTTTCTTATTAAGAAAATAACTAAATTCTTGAATGAAAGCAAACCATTTAAAGTATTCGATGGATCAGTATCGGATGCATATAAATGTGGTTCAATTTGAACAACACGTTCATTTTCTTTGATATGACCAATATAAGAAGGGGATGAAAGAATAGGATCAAATAAATTCATTTTTATTTTTGAATATTTCGTTTCTGTTGACATTACTCTTGTATTTGTCAAAGCTATATTTAGTAATAGAATGAGTAAGAAAATAAAAAAATAATCATTGATCAACCTTGAATTTTTATATTGAACTTACCAGTAATGGTCATAAAAAATATTGACCAAATCATTATAGTTGATCGTTGTCTTTGGAACATCTAGAAGCTCAACGAATGACTAGTTCGAAATGGAGTCATCAACATTACTAATATGTTATATTTAAAAAAAAAAGACAAAAGAAAAAAAAAAGCACTAACACAACGATGGCGAGGCATGAAATGGTAGTCTTACTAATATTTCTACTCTGACTTATTGATGAAAAAGAGAGCGAGCGAGAAAGAAAAAAAAACAGAGAGTAAGCTTGATTTTTTTTACGGCTCATTCAGTACGTTTCTCTTGTCTCCCTTGTCGTATTTTTTTCTCCCATTCCTATCACTCTCCTTTCCTATTCGTTTTTCTCCTGTCTACGGTTCTTTTTTTTTAATTCTGTGTATGTGTGTGTGTGTGTGCAATGCATAACAGTATAGGCTTTTGTTTAGTAATTTTCCTACCGTTTCTTTTTTTTTTCTCTTTATATATACATACGTATATTATTATTTTTTCTATTTTCTTTGTAACAGGAAGAGTAAGAAAAGTGAGTAAGAACAAGCCGAACTGGAAAAAAGCGACCCCTGAAGAAGTGCCATAAGAGAAAAAAATCAATAGATTGTCATCATTATTGATGTTTGCGCCTTTGGCTATATTCACATGAATAATATTAAAGTCTGATTATTTGGAAAAAAAATTGTATCGTATATTTAATATACAAAATAACAACTAAAAATAATTCTAAAAAGTCGTTTCAATATTTTTTTTTCTAACAAACAATTAATCAAAAGATCCAGTAATACATGTCACAACATTTCCTTGAGATGTATAAGCTGTTTTTGTTGTTTCAAATGGTCCTTTCTTTTTAAGTGATTCGATTTCATCTTCATCATCATCATTAGATTTAACAGAAGAGTTCAAAGACGATATGATATTTGGTTTTTGTTGTTGAAGTATGATATCATCTGTTATTGTAATTATATTATCTGGTTCAATAAGTTGTTTTGGTAAAAGAATTATTTGTCCTTCAATAGTTTTACCAATAAGATAAGTTGTATTTAATTCTAAATTCTGACGATATGTTGATTCTAATGTAACTATACATCGTTTTGATTGCTCAATTGTTTGATGTTGTTTAGTTGAATAGAAAATTTTTCGATGATGTCGTTTGAATGATTTTTTTTTAGTTTCATTTTTATGGTTATTTTTACTATGCGATGAATGTAATGCTGATGATGAATGAAGACGACGACGATGATGATGACGATGATGATGATGATGATGATGATGAATAGGCGTTGCAAATGTTTTTTTTAATGATTCAAGACGTTGAATAAGTGTTGACGATGATGCTGGTGAATCTAACATTGATTTACAACGAGTTTGAAGCTAAATATTGATAAAAGAATAGTTAAGTTCTATTCAAAAAAAAAACTTTTCTTAATATGTCATTTATAATGAATGCAAAAAAAC